TTCTCTTTCTGTTGAGACATATCAGCTTGATGCACTGATGTTGCGCTAGAAGCATTTAGCCAGTCTCAGTCTCCGTTGTGTGATAAAAAAATTAAACCTAAACATACCATGTGGATTAGCACTCAATCATTCAACACAGTGCCCTAGAAGCTCCATCCCATGACAATTTGCATTGTATTTGAGTGACTAGAGAGGCATTTGCTTCAAGTCCAAATTCAGCCTCCAAAATCAAGACATTCCTGCTATTCCGGAGGCTGATCGAGCTACTTGGCCATCGGTTCTTCTTAAACTTCTATGGCGCCTGTGGGATGCTCGGAATGGCGCCATCTTCAGAGGAGAGACGCACCATTGTCTCTCGGGTATGCGATGACAACCTGAGACAATTTTACATCTTAGGTACTCACTAATGAGATGGATCATCATTTTTTTTTTACGAAAAGAAAAGACTATGAACTGAAGAAAACATGGATCGAGCTAAACGTTGGGAGGGCGATCGAGGGACGTGTTAGGAGGAAGGAGACTTACGCCAGGCTAGTTTATGCGTCTGGTGACGAGGCCGCCGCCAATGGCGCTGCCCCTGCTGGGACATAGGCTTCCCCATCAACGAAGCCTTCCTTCCTTCCACTACACCATAGCACCGAGATTGGCGATGAACGATCTAACGCGCTAAAATGCAGAATAGCTGAGAGCACTCTAGATGAGAACGATCTATCGCTAAAAGTTATAGCTACAGACTTGTGCCAGACATGGTGTCCAACGTAAGACACTAAGTGACTGCATTCTTGAGAATATAACGCTAAAACCCTTTAGCGACAGATAGAACTTTTACCGATAGATGGTCTGTTGCCCTGAATATCTATAGCGACAGATGGCCTGCCAGTACTCTATAGCGACAGATAGCCTGCTAGTACTCTATAGCGATAGACAATTTGACGCTATAAATACTTTTAGCGGCTGATGGTCCAACGAGATCATTTAAATGCATTTAAAAAATAAAAGGCCATTTGGTTGTAAATTAATATAAAAGTAACATCATTGTGCACGTTTCTCATACAAATAGATTCATTCATGACCAAGTCTAAACACTCACTAAGACATACATATATGGTCAGCCATTACAAACATGAAACATTCATTCATCAATGATAAGTCTATAGTATCAACTGCCTGTATCCAAAAGAGATAGACTAGCACCTAAATCAGCTTTGAGTGGCAAATCATCCACGAACTTACTAACTAGCACCGTAGTAGACCCTGAAACCAAAACCTAACATGCAATCAGTAACATGTTAACATAGATCCATGATCAGGTAAAGTTACTATGCTTTATTTTTTGTTAAAATAATTGGATCTTAAATAATGTGCATGTAGATTGGTACTTAGGGAAAATTAGAAGGCCTCATATTGGGACTTGGTTTTCCGTATCTTTGAAGCTTACTTATGTGCCGAGAAAGTCAAATCATGTAATAAATAGATGCTATAAAGAAACCTAACTAGTCAATTAACACTTGTGCTGCTCAAGCTAATGTTGCGATACAAACACATGCAAATTAGATCTTGTTGTATCTCTTGTTTTGACTTGTTTGCACTAGGGTTCAACGAGATAGTTTAGATGAATCAAAAATAAATAAAAATTTATCACAGCTCCTATCTTAAGGTCAGGTCGTTTTTTGCCTACTAACTGTACATATGTCACCAGCTCCTATCTCAAGTTTCTTATCACACCTTCTATCTCAAGTTTCCACGAAGCTTTTTTCTCACTGAAAAATATGCAATTGCAGCCCATATAAAGGAAAATAAACTAGGATCTATTGCAACACATATAGTCTAAGAATAGTTTATATATCACAGAACTGTATAAGATTGTTGAATTGAATGTTGAACTGCATAAATCAGTCCTTTATGTGCTAGCAATTGACAAAAATATTTATCACAGCTCCTAAATTTTAACATTATATCAAATTTTAGGTATCGAAATGATCTCAAATGGAAAGGTTGTCAACTACAAAGTTGTAGGCCTTATCACGGTCTACAACTTCTGTTTTGGTCATTTCTCCATCCGAGTTTATTTGAACAGTTCAAAAATATTTAAATTGTAGGATTACGATTTTTTATTAATGATGATCCCATTCGATCACTAATGTGGACCATTTTTTAGCGACAAACTGCATGGCGATAAGCGATTTTAGCGACAGACCGCATGACAATAAATATACCTATCTATACCGACAGATAGTGAATCAATAAATGAGGAAATAGCGACAGATGATCAGTGAGTTATCTTTAGCGACATACCATTCATCGATAAATATTATTTTTAGCGTCAGATGTCTGGACGCTAATGCGGTGTTATGGTGTAGTCTTCCTCCTGGAATCTGGCCGACAAGAAATAAGAAATCACTTCCGATCCGTTTGGAACTGAACTGGCCTGCATGTAGACTGCAGAGACCAAAGGCAAAAATCAACCTAGCCCTGGCATATAAAAGTGGGATTTTTTTTTCTATGCGACGCCCGCCGCACCACGTTCCCATGCAACATCCTATACGCGCGTGCAGCAGAAAGCATTGGGTGCCTTCGCGGCCGCGCGCAGAAACGACGTCCGGCCCGTGGGCTCCAAGCGGCCCAGGAGAAGAGATCCTGTGAGCCAGCAACGCTGAAGCTGCTTCTCTTAGACGTCAGAGCCAGACCTACAGGCTACAGGCACGGCGCGACTATGGGCCCAAGACAACAAAAGGAATAGCAAAAATTTCATTGCTCATGCGAAAGGGCGTGTAGGCTAGTGGTTACAAGAGCCTCGGTAGCACTTAGCTCCTAGGTTCGTCTTCCCGTGAGAGCGAATTTTTTAGATTTAACAGCGTTATGCTTTCAGTGGTAGGTGACGTTCCTCTCGATAGAGAAGCGCCTGTAGTGACTTCCTCGGAGAACCCAAACCCTAACCTTATCAAAGCTGTCATAGGGGTTGGAGAAGACGCCAGGGTTGAATCATAGGTACATGGCCCGTATACTATACGACGCAAGTGGCACGGCGATGCCTGCTCTAAATAAATAGAAAGGGAACCTAACTAGTCGATTAACACTTGTGTACTCATTAAAAACATGCAAATTAGATCTCGTTGTATCTTTTGTTTTGACTTGTTTGCACTAGGGTTCAACGAGATAGTTAGACTAAAAATAAATAAAAATTATCACAGTCTATCAAGGTCAGGTCCTTTTTGCCTACTAACTGTACATATATCACTAGCTCCTATCTCAAGTTTCTTATCCCCTCCTATCTCACAGCCCACGCTCTAACGGTGTCAAACTAGCGTAGATCAAAAGTCGAAAATACCCTTATCAGTCTAAATATGTCATTAATTTTTTGAGCATCTTATTTATCGACATTATATCAAATGAAAAAACTCAAAACTAGAAATTGTAGGTCTCATCAGATCTACAACTCGAGATCTATAATTTTCATATATAAACATTATTGTTTACATTTAATTAATGCAAAAAGATATGATTTTTCTAAGATATATTAATCGTATCAAATCATATTTTTTGCGTAATTAAATGAAGATAATTTTATATAAAATTATTAGATCTCATTTAGATCTAGAACTTTTAGTTTTGAGTTTTTCATTTGAAGTCGCAGACTGCAGAGACAAAAGGCAAAAATCAAACGATGTTCAAAAAAATTAATGACATATTTAGACTCCAAGCGGCCCAAGGGTATTTTCCAGCAACGCTGACACTGCTTCTCTTAGACGTCAGAGCCAGACTTGGCTACAGGCACGTTAGAGCCCAAGACAACGGAATAGCAAAAATTTCATTGCTCATGTGAAAGGGATTGTAAAAAAGTTGGAGCCTTAAGCCCTATAGGTCAAGACCGCTTCCCACTTTTTTTAGATTTAACAGGTTCTTTTCGGTGGTAAATTACGATCTTTTTGGTGACTTCCTGGAGACACAAAAGAATTCCCCTAAAATTATAGCCTCACTAATCAGTAATTGAAGGCCCAATTAGACTCCTTGCCGCAGCCCACGCGAGCACCGATTGACATTCACCAATGCAGCTCCATTCCATTGGCCATCACAACCTTCCCAGCTTCCAACTTCCAACTTCGGACTCCATCAGCTCCGCAACTGCTCATACTCGGCAACTCGTCTTCGGCCGTCCAACTTCCAAGTGAAGATTAAGCCATGCAGTGGCGGATCCAAAAACAAGGCAGGAGGGAGCTGGGTTTTATGATGTCTGGCGAGTGGGGCTAGGCCTTCTAGACCAGAGTTTTCATGGGCTGTTGGAGGAGAAAAAAATAGTAGTAGTTACTTTGTTTTGGATCCTGTTGACGACCAAATTGGGACCAGGTCAATTTTCGAATTGGCCAATGATAGTTTGGTCCAATCTACGGAAAACTCTATAAAGGGACATAAGAATAGTACCACATTGGTTTTCCAACGGGATAAGATCATTCATACTCCTTATAAAATATGGGGTACATGGTCGATTGAGGTACCCAACATCCAATCGTCGTTTTTACATCTACTACCCTATTTTACCCTTTTCCAACCCCTTTGATGTTCATTGCATCTCTTCGCGAGATTCAATTGTGTTCTAGGTGGCCTTGCCGACCCTAACAACCCTAGACGTGCTCCTCCCTGATGGGTCCTCCCAGAGAGGTGTTCCCAGGCTTTTGCGACAAAGGACGGGAATTTAGATCGGCCTAACCGATCTCTAGATCGTTTTAGTCGATCCCAAGAGTTGCTTGCTACGTGTATCAGGTTGTATGCAACCTAAGGCGTGCTAGCCCTTGCTGGTGTGTGATTTGGATCAAAATCCAATGTCAACACACTTTTTGGCAACTCCGTTGGGGAAGAAGAAGAAGATCAATCAAGAAGCCCATATGGCAGACTTTGTCGCTTATATTTCCATACTAGTACCGCTATTCCTGGCCATGGCTTTGTGCGTCTAGTTGATCTACCTGCTTGGGCCTTTCTCCTGTGTAGCGGTCTCATCGTGGTGAATGGCGAAGCTCAATCATGGTAGCAGGGACAGAACTGATAGCATGGCAAACATGATGGTAGCATTGAACATATTCTATTCACCTATTATCTTCCAAGGCCCCATGTTTGGGGTACTGCTCACTATAGGCATCAGCCTTAGAGTCATGGCCATCCACCTCCATGCACTAGAGCAACTTCTGAAGGAGTGCGGCAAGGACGCCATCCACAGGTACCTCTACCATATCAGTGCAAAATGCAGAAAGGATCCTCTATCCATCAAGGGCACGAACATGATCAAGTACACCGCTGAGTTGGTGGATTCTGAATCCCAGCAGGACTACTTGCATGGTGCAAGGAGACTGAGTGCCTTTATTAATTAACATGGGGAAGATGTGAGGTGGCTGCTGCTTCCCTCGATGCACCAGATTCAAAATTTGGTAGATTCACTGTGGATAAGCGGTGACAGCCTATATGCGAACAGAGACATTTGAGAGCTCAGTGGCGATGATAGTGGTAGGTCTTGCTGCCCACATAGATGTAGCCAGGTACCATTGGGCTTTGCACACTAGCAGAGAATAGACGTTTGGTTCAGCACATTAGTCCCAGCTAGAGTTGGTCCTGGGACTAATCACATCAGTCCCAGGTCCAAGTTTCATGGGCGTCGGAGGACCTTTAATCCTGGTTGATAACACCAACCTAGACTAAAATGTCTACGTTAGAACCAGTTGGTGTTACCAACCCAAACTAAAGGGGACTAATGTGTAGACCCTTTGGTCCTGGTTGGTAACACCAACCTAGATGATCAAAGACCAACCGGGACTAAAGGGTCCTTTGCACGGGTTGGTTTAAAAGGAAATCATCTCATCCAAAGTCACGTATGTTGTGTAGGTGCGGTGGAAGGCTACACGTGAGGCCATGCATGAGGTCTTGGGTTCAAGTCCCACGAATCACAGGGGTTTGGAATAGCAGCCGCCTCAACTACTAGGACCATTAGAAATCTTACATCGATCCAAAGAGGAACATATGAAGAACCTGACCAGAAGAGAAGAGGAACGCTAGTGGAGACTGATGAGAGAACAGATGAAGAACCTACTCATATGGAATAGGTTTTATCATTTTTTTTTCTGATGCCACTGAATTGCCAAATGTCAAGAACCTTGTACAAGATCAAAAGATAGCACCTTTGCACATGTGAGTTTTATTCCTAATCAAGTATTCTTTGTAGGCATTTGATGAAGCCATGTCTGAATTGCACACCCTTGGAGAAGACATACTGAGATAGTACCTTGATAATGCACCTTCTGGGGAACAATTGATGTATTGCTACTGCTATTAAAGTCATTCATTCTATTTTGGTTGCTCTTGCAATTAGGTTCCCATCATGCTAGTTTTGGTTTTGCTAAGAATGCTAATAGTGGTTAATATTGTGTTAATGCTTGCCACGTTGCTATCAAGTCTAGTCTGTGCTATTGATGATATAAAATGTTCTTTAGGGGCTGTTTGGATACTTTTATTTTGGAGGAATTGTAATCTACTTAATGGACTAGGCTATTTGGCTTGGAATTTAACATCCCACAACTTTCTAAAGTTCACATATAAGCCTATCTCAAATTCATAGGGTGTGAGATGGAAATTAATTCTATAGATCACCATGCTATATTTGTATTCTACAACTTATAGCACGCTCTTCGGCTCGCTCTCCTACATCAGAAATGCAACACATAAGTATCTTCCTCATATGGCCAACAATAGTATATAAATATATTCCACATAAAACATTTTAGCTTAATTAATCTGTGCCTAAATTTTGATTATTACAATGAATTTCAATTCCAAGGATCCAAATGGGGCTTTACAGATTTTTAATATCAAGTTTAGGTTATGTTTTTGATGAATGGAATCTTTGATTTTTTAGGTCAAATGGACTAGAGGTGGTGTGGTGCAACAAGAGGATCAAGGTGCTCATGGTGGCTATTTTCGTTCATGACTTCCTAGTGATGAAAGATTTTGTTGTGCGAGCAATATGAGTTGTGAGCTATACAAGCCAACATCTTAGTTGTGTAGGTACTTGAGCAAGCTAGCTTGGTTATTGCCTTAGTATTTCGTGTGAAAAATTGTATAAGTACAAATGCTGATGGTTTCAATGAAAATTATGAGTTATATATGTTTTGTCAATTGTGAGCTTTGTTCTAGTTTATGTGTTTGATTGTCTGAATGTTTGACATGAATAATGTTGATTGTATAGCTATCATATAAACAAATGATATTATATGGTTATTTTTTTGTATGCCTAGCGATAGATAGTTGGTCGCTATAAATATATATCGTCATACAATGGTCACTAAAAGTTTATAATAGACGTCAAACAATCGGTTGGTATATCCACTATAAATAGTGTCTAAAGGTCGGTAGCTATAGATTTATACATACGTCACTATCAACGACACATAGCAAAGAGTCGGTATAGATATATAACGACCGACGTAAGCCGCTAAAACGACTTATAATGACATATAAGGGGACGCTAAAGATAAGCTGTGGTATAACGAAATTAGCATGTTGGATTACAAGCAAGATACAAAGATGAGCAACTTCAAGAGCCTTTATGAATTTCAATCTCTATTTATAGAGTTATTCAATGAACATTCTCTTTCTATATCTAATAGACTCTTCAATTTTGTTCTCTATATAATTTAGTAGTTTATTATATTTTTCCTTGTGTAGAAATATTTATGCAAAACTACCATATATTATATTTAAAGAATTACGTAGCCTCTCTAAAAGTGGAGAGTGAGAGTGGTAGTTTTGGAGAACGAAAAAAAAGATGAAGGGTGGTATAGGAAGTCTATTGAAGCATGTTTTCATTTGTCTTCTAAATTTTATGATAATAAAAGATTTAAAAACATATAGAGCTTTTTGGAGATGCCACGAGAGGGTATTCAGCATTCTTCCTTGCATCTTGTTCGTTGACCTCCGATGTGACTTTCTTTTTATTTTAGTTCGCTTGTTTTTTTGACTCAAAATTGGGAGGAGGGTGGACCCACCCAATGAGCCCTGCTGCATCTGCTTTGAATATTGCAAAATAAAGGTACTGGCAAGAGTTCAGGTTGGAATGACAAAATCACAAAACAAATTTTTTACCAAAGTGTTTTATGCTTGTCACTCTGACGATGTGACTTCCCACTTTATTTTAGGCCATGTTTAGTTCGGCCACTCGATTCGGAAGTAAAATCTTTTTCTGGAAACCCAGAGAAAAATGCAAAAAAACTTTGTTAGAGTGCACTTCGTTTGTATTTGGTAATAATTGTCCAATCGTTGACTAATTAGGCTCAAAACGTTCGTCTCGCAAAGTACAACCAAACTGTGCAATTAGTTTTTGATTTTGTCAATATTTAGTACTCCATACATGTACCGCAAGTTTGATGTGACGGGGAATCTTCTTTTTGCATAGTGTCAAATTCAGGAACTTGAAAACTAAACATGGCCTTAGACAGAGTCACTTGTCCCGATGTCCGTCGGTTTATTGGGAGGGTAAGAAGAGTACTCATGACCCACCCAATGAGAAAATAGAACCTGCATGCATCTGAGTCTAGAAGAATATGAATAGAATTTGAAATGACAATTTGCAGGCAGGTAGGAGTAGGTACTGGCAAGAAGGTGGTTGGTTCAGAAAGATTGGAACGAAAATGCACCGTACCAGGCACCACTAAACATATATCTACCCATGACCCATCCATATTATTATTTGTGACCTCGCCATAGGCCTTTCAAAGAAACAGATCATGCTTATCTTGCACTACTAAGAAACATGTGATGATTGACCTTTCCATCTGTCAAGAGGCCTAGATTCTCAACAATAATTATATATATAATGAGTACAAAGTTTTTTCAACCAGTTTGTTTCATCTATCACCATGTGCGCGGACTTGAGAGCAAAAAGAGAATACACTAATTAATGCATTGATATACTTAAACGATGTGTTTGGTCACACAATCGGAGATGTTCACTACAAAGACCATGCCATGACACGTAATAACCAGCAGTAGTGGGTGTGCTCCACTTGTTTTATTGTAACGACTAACGAGACTACCATTTGTAGTTATATTTGTATGAACTTTGGTTTGTAATGATTTCATCCATACCTATTATGTATGTATGGTGTTCCAAAGGGGACAGTCCGAACCATGAAACTATATATGTTATAGCTTCCATACTTGCCAACTAATATAGATACTGCCCATGAAACCATACTCCCAACGAATATTTTATAGAAATAAAATTTTCATCCAATCATTTATATATCTTCTCTCTCCTATCATCCATCTATTGATCACAACTCTTTGTACCTTGGTTCTGTGTTGATATGGTTTCTAGTATGAGAAACCATCATTATCTCTTCTCTTTAACTCTAATGCCACATAATTGTTTTGTCTACTTGTATTCTCGCACTCATTAAGGTCTTGTTTGGCACACCTCCACTACACTAGTGAAGTGTTTTTTAGCTCCACGAGCAGCTCTACCAATAAAGATGAAGCTATTTTAGTCGAACCATTTGGCAAAACAGCTATATATGTGAAGCTCCATAAAACATCATCTCACATAATCCCACGCAGGCTCCACCACAACGAGTGGAAGCTGGGAGAAGCTACTATTTTTAGCTCCATCTCTCATTCACCCCTTATGAGCAAGTTTTAAAAATTCCTCACGTGAAGCTATTTCATTTTATTTCGTTTAGCACAAAACAACTTTAAACACACAGGTCCTGGAGTTTGTGGAGGAGTTATGTTAAAAACCGGGCCAAAGCCAATGCAACTAGTATATGTTGGTGTATTCTCGATCTCGAACGGATTGATATCATATTTGAACCTGTAATGAAGTAGGTTGTTGTCTCATTTCCTCGGCGTGAATGAAATAACTAAAGACCCCAACCAACTAGTCAAGCCGGCCGTCTAAGGAGTGTAAACAAAGCCAAGGTCAAGACAAGCAGGCACATGTCATGAAAATTGAAACATATCATATTATATAATATAAAAATAGGAGCGTCGGCCTCCCACACATATTTATTTAGTACTTCCTCCATTTCAAATTACAAGACATTCCAACTTTTTGCTTGGAGAGTCAAATCATATCAAGTTTGAGTAAAATTATAGAGAGAATTACAAAGATTTATAACATCAAATGGGTTACTATGAAATAATCTAATGATACTTATTTGGTATCATAAATGTTATTATTTTATTATATAAATTTGGTTAAAGCTGAGATGTTTTGACTTCGTAAGAAATTTAGAATAACTTATAATCTATTACTACGGGAGCAAGTAGGCTCCTGAGAGCGGACAAAGAGCCGGCATTCCTACTTTGAATTTCCCAGTCGTCCAAGAACATTAGCTAGCACGCATTTTTATTCATCCCCCATTCCCATGGATCTTCTTCACCCCTGAAGCTTCGTTCCACGGGCGGAGCCCAGTGGAGGCCAAACTGGGCTCCGGCCCCCCTTGTCCGAGACGAAATTATCAAGTCCTCTTCAGCCCATGCAAAGAAACTAAGAAAGCCCAATAGGCAATAGCCCAGACTAGAACAGGTGAGCGGAGGCCGGAGGCCGCAGTCACGCACTCACGCTCGACCGCGTCTCTGCTAGTTCGCCTTCGCCATGGCGCCGCGCCGCCACCAGCAGAGCAGAGACCGCAGCCGCCCTGCTCGCGACTCACCGTGACGCCGTCGTCCTGCTCCTGCATTCATGCAGCGTTGGTTGCCGGTCGCCGCCTCGTCGCCACTCACCACACTTCTCCCGTTCTCACCACGCCGACGCAGGCCGCAATGGCGCAGCCCGTACCCTGCAGCAAGCCAGCAACGCTAGCACTAGCAGTAGCAGGACTGCACTCTGAATGACAGCAGGAGCAGCACTTGGCACCAGAAGAGGATGACCAGCTACGAGAGTGGTGGCTGCGCGCACGATCCAGGGCCCCAGTCAGCCTGTCCAGAGCGCTAGACTCCCTCGTCCTGCTCATCACCTGGAACTTATGCAAGGAGCGCAGCAGGAGGATCTTTGACAGGAAGCAGAAGCAGGAAACGGCGCTATTGGAGCACATAGCAGAAGAAGCCGACTCTTGGATAGCCGCCAGCTTCAACGGCTTGGCGCTGCTCCTCACCCAGAACGGTTGATGCTAGAGTGACGCTCCCCTCTGTCGCCAATTTACTCTCTGTAATAGGTCCAGCAGCCAGCGCGTGCCTTTCCTTTTGCTTGTGCGTTGGCGGTCTCTTCTGCTGGCCACTCGCCATCAGCTTGGCCGTCGCTGTGTTACTTTTAACTTCCCTTAATGAAATACACGCCTAAGCGCGTTCTCTAAAAAAAATGACAGCAGGAGCACTGCTAGCCTACAGGTTATTTCTTCAATCTCCAATCTTTTGCTCTATTTCTTTTCATGTTTAGTTTTGCTAGATTCAGATTGAAATTGAATAGATGTAATTCCTTAATTAGGTAGCAAAACAATGGTTCGTCTGAAAACTCCTTTGAGATCAAGATGAATCAGATGCTGGGGAAGAGGAAGAAAATCGTCCACGTTTGAGAAATTGAATCATTTGTCGAAATCAATAGCTGCTGTTATTCTGTTAAGTGGCTAATATGTCAGACATGTGCTTTTAGAGGTCACGATGAATCGTCCACGTTTGAGAAATTGAATCAGATGTCGAAATCAATAGCTGCTGTTATTCTGTTAAGTGGCTAATATGTCAGACATGTGCTTTTAGAGGTCACGATGAGACACCTCAGTCAGTCAAAAAAAAAAAGAAAAAAACAGAGGTAGCTTTGTTGAATAGGCAATTTGGCCCCCCTTGCGTTTGGGCCACGCTCCGCCACTCTGCTTCGTTCCATATATTTCTAGCAGGAAGCAACAAGTACTCTAGTTTTCAGTCCCAAGTGCGTGCGCGAGCTCGCTAGGCTTCCAGTCAATAGCTAGTGAGATATGACGGCTGATAGTGTCGTCGAAGGAGAGGGGAGTAACGGCGGTGGATCCAGCGAGCAGGAGCGGCGGCCTTCTGTTACCACGCGCGGCGTCTTTCGAGCGGCGTTCAGCCGCGTTATGGCTCGTCAGGCTGAGACTCGGGCTCGTCGGTCGGCGTACGCCCTCGCTGGGGCGGCGAACGCCCACACTCGGGCCTACGACTATGCTCTGACGTACGCACACGTCCGGGCGTACGTTTCACTGGCTGTGAAGGGCTCAGGCCTCCTGGCTCTCTTGTTGTCCACGGTTGTCCTTGGCTACGTCCAGTCGCTGAAGAAGGAGGATTTCTTCTGCATCATGGCAATTGCCGTGATACAGACAGCCGGGTGAGTAATCTCCTCGATCTATTTTCTCCCTTCTCTCTAAGTACGTTGTACGTATTTATTTCCAATACAAGATTCACAAGACTACATATTATATACAACAGTTTTGTATACATTACAGTAACATGCATGTTTCGTTTTGTTTCTAATACTAAGTGTATGGCCGCGTGTGCTGCAACGCTTTAAAAAAAAAAAAGACAGCAAGAGATTTACCATATTTTTTATTCGACAAGAGAACAATAAAAAACACACACGTTACAACTTCACCGCTTGGTCCAATTAGGGACGAGTCCATCCAAAAAACTTCAAAACTGAGAGAAGAGAGAAAAACGAAGGGCAACGGTAATTATTCGCCACACTAAGAACACAAAAGAAAAAACATGTTGTTTTGGAATTACTCCTAATCACTTTGTTAGCTGAGCATTCACTTTTGTCTGATCGACCACAGACTGTTCGTTTGGCTGTGGCTCGTCGTAAACGATCGTAAATTTCCAGCCGAAACAATATTTTTCTTTCGCACAAACCAGCCAGTAGTACTTCTTCACGAACTAACAACGATACAAACCAGCCAACCGAACAGACTGCGATTGTTCTTGCGGCCTCGGTTCCTGAACAACTCCATCATTTGCATCCAGAGTTGACTTTTGAAAAAAGATTCGCATCCAGAGTTGGTGAGGCTGAATGAATCACTTGAGTCACTTCCATAATGTTACCTGCGTCTAGGTATCCCTAGCTTAGGGCCTGATTGGATGCACCCAATCAAAGTTTAGCTATCTCAAATTTCAAAGTAAAACTTTAGCCAGTTAAAAATTTTCCAGCTAAACTTTAGCAGAGATGTTTGGATGCTCCAGCTAATAGACTCGGCTAAATTTTAACTGGCTTTAGCTAGGTTGTAATAATAGGCCCTCTAATCTAGGTCGAGGCAACTGGTACGATATTTTATTTATATAAAATAAATCCTATAGTGTCACCTAAACACTAGCTAACAAAGAAAAAAAAAGATGAGGGAGGAGAGAAAAGGAACAAGGGGGACATGCATGTATTGCGAAGTTGCAATGGCTAAACTCTTTCACTAATGACTTTGGGAGGGGCGCACATGAGATGGGTAGGACACTGACGGACTATGCATGCTTGTTGCCCGCAGGATTTTCCAGGACTGGGAGACCAATCTACAATATTTCGTGGAATTTTGGATGATACTATTCAGTGCCGGGGACTTCCTTATCGCTCGTATTCCTGCACTACTAGTGTTGGAGGTAACACAGACTTGATTAGCCTGAATAGCCACACACCCCAGGCTGTCTCCTTGATTATATATAGAGATAGATATTGCATTGATTATAAACAGCTCACTAGAGCATAGCTAATCAGATAGGTGCCTTGGCAGCCGTACACACCTCTTGGGCTGCCCAAGGTCTTTAATGACTGTAATTAACTAGCATAGTTATCTAGGAATTGCTTAGGAAGCAGGGCTTATTAACTACATTTCTCCCCCTAAGACCTGCTTCAACTAATCTTGATCTCCTTGATCCCAATCCTGCTCCTCATCTCTTCCAAATTTGGTTTTGCCCAAGGCTTTAGTCGATGATATCGTCGAGCTGATCTGCAGTGGGAATGAACTCTGTCTTGATGCTACCTTCTTCCACACAATCTCTGATGAAATGATGCTTGATTCTAATATGCTTGCTCCTGTCATGGAAAACAGGATTCTTTGCCAAAGCCAAAGCAGACTTATTGTCTACTCTGAGTTCCACCACCTCAACTTTTCTTCCCAACAATTACAAAAGCAGTCTTGACAACCACAAAGCTTGGGTTGCAGCTTGTTGTCATCGCCACATATTCAGCCTCACACTAGACAGAGCAACAACTCTCTGCTTGATAGATCGCCAAATGACCAGTGGTTCCAAGGAAGAACAAACATCCGGTTGTGCTTTTGCTTGAATCAACATCTCCACCAAATCTGAATCATCAGTAACCCACAAACCTTGCTTTGCTGTTGTTACGGTGTAGCAGAGCCCATGATCTAGAGTACCACCCAGTATCTCAAGATCCTCTTCACAACTTTGAAGATGTTCAGTTGTTGGCTTCTCCAGAAATCTGCTAACATACCCTACAGCAAAAGCCAAATCTGGTCTTGTGTGCACTAGGTATCTCAAGCTGCCAACCAGTCTTCTATACTGAGTTGGATTTACTTCCTTTGCTGTGCTTTCCTTGCTCAATTTCAACCTTTCTTCTATGGGTGTGGTGGCTGGATTACAACCTGCCATACCACCCAGCTCAAGTATCTTCTTTGCATAGTGGGTTTGCTTCAGAGTGATGCTCCCCTCTGATTGTCTCACCTCAACTCCCAGATAGAAAGACAGAAGACCCAAATCACTCATTTCAAAGGTTTGCTTCATCTTTGCCTTGAAAGCTTCAATCTTCTGCTGATTGACTCCTGTGATGATCAAATCATCAACATAGACTCCAATTACCAGTAGGGAGTCACCTGATCCCTTCCTGTACATAGCAGCTTCATACACATTCTGCTCAAAACCCATCTGCTTGAGAGTCAAGTCAAGCTTGGCATTCCATGCCCGAGGAGCCTGTCTTAGGCCATACAGAGCCTTGTGCAGCCTGTACACTTTCTTCTCCTCTCCTGGTACTACAAAACCTGGAGGCTGTGTAACATAAACCTCCTCCTGGAGTTCTCCATTCAAAAATGCAGACTTCACATCCATGTGATGTACTGCCCATCCCTCTTGTGCTGCTAGGGCAAGCAAAACACGCACTGATTCCATCCTTGCAACCGGTGCAAAAGCATCTTCATAATCAACTCCTTCCTGCTGCACAAAACCACGGGCCACAAGTCTTGCCTTGTGCCTAATTACAGCTCCATGTTCATCCTTCTTCAGCTTAAACACCCATTTCAGTGAAATTGGACGGTGACCAGGACGGGGAGAAACAAGTTCCCAAGTCCCATTCCGCTCTACTGATCTCAGCTCCTCCTTCATCGCTGCTTGCCAATCTAGATCATCTTTGGCTTCTTCATAGCTTGTAGGCTCACCAGAATGGGTGAGATTCAGTTCTGTAAACAGCCACTGCGCTGGCGGAGGGGTTGGCTGATCACCAATAATGTCATGAATCTTCCGATAGCGGAGTTCTTCATCGTCGTGGTAGGCATCCACCCTTTCATCATCATCCTCAAGGGGGGTCACATGCTCAACCTGAGGACTTGCTGGAGCTGGTGTAGGTGTTCTGGGCGACGCAGGCGCCTCTGCCTCCGCTGCGGGCTCCTCTGTTTCCGCTGCAGGCTCTCCTGCATTCACCGGAGAGAAACCAGGCGATGCAGGATGTGGCGGAGGAGATAGTGAAGGCGACGCTGAACTTCCTGCTTCAGGGAGTTCCTCTGCCCATGGGAATTCAATAGTAAACTCACTGATCGCTGCTTCTGGTGTGCCTGCTGCCGGTGATGCCCAGTCCCAGCCGCGGCCTTCGTCGAACACCACATCGCGGCTGACACGCACGCGCTGGGACACTGGATCATAGATACGGTATGCCTTGGCCCCTTCCGCATAGCCGATAAACACGCCAGCCTCGCCGCGGTCATCGAGCTTGCGAAGCTGAGTAAGCCGTCGGGTATAAGCCACACAGCCAAAGACCTTGAGGTGGCCGACTGTTGGTGCCCGGCCGTGCCACGCCTCATAAGGAGTGGCATTCTTCAGTGCCTTCGTCGGGGATCGATTCAGAATGTGCACAGCCGTCATCACAGCCTCCCCCCAAAACCGAGAGGGCATCTGGCGTTGCTTGAGCAAAGCTCGTGCCATGGCCACCACTATTTGGTTCCTGCGCTCAACAACACCGTTCTGTTGCGGTGAATAAGGGGCACTGAAATGCCGTTTAATACCTTCATCAGCGCAGTATGCAGTAAACTCCGCGACAGTGAATTCGCCGCCATTGTTGGTGCGCGGGACCTTCAACTTGCGCTCGCGCTTTCTTTCCACCTCTCGCCCACCTTGACCTTCTTAATTGCTTCTGCTGCTGCGTCCTTGGATGGCAGCAATACACACACGACCACATAAAGCGCGGGTGGCGTCATCGACGAGCAGCAAGATATAACGGTTGCCCCCGTGTGTCGGTCATTGCTGGCGTGACCGGACCGCACAGTCACCGTGCACCACTCAAAGCTCGATTACGGGCATGGTATCTTTGCTTTGCGCAGCCTGAAAAAAACGCCGCCTCGCTTGGTAACGCAGTGTCACACACCGCTCAACATGGTCAACCACCGGCATCCCAGCGCGCCGCTGCCATCTCCTCCTTGCCGAGTCGCCCGGAGTGCGTCGGCGCGATGGCGAAACACTCGTGCCATCGCCACGCCTCTTCATCCTTGCGTGCATGAGACGTAGAGGTTGTGCAGCCTCAAGATGCGAGAATATACAACCTATTCTTCCCTCTCGTACCTTGGCGAAGGCGGCGGCGGCTCTTGTCCCAAATGCGAAGCACGCCATCGTCAATCACAACCTTGGACCCTCCTTCATCAAGTTGTCCCAGACTTAGGATAGAGTTCTTCAAATACCCGCGAATGAAGTAGACGCCATGAAGAACCCTCTCGCTCACCGGTCTTGGCTTGAAAACAATAGACCCGACGCCCTTGATCTCTACTCGCGACGCCCCCCGAACCGGACCGTTCTCGAACGCCGGTGTTCGAGATCAACAAAAAACTCTTGGCGCCCGGTCATGTGATGCGTCATGCGGAGTCCAGTACCACCAGCTGTCCACCTCTTCTTCGTCCCACGCCGAGATAGCGCGAACCGAGCACGTGGCTCGGAGAACTTGACTTTTCAAGCGCCGAAGTAGTCTAAATGTCGGTGAGTGCTTTGCTCTCGAGCTAATGAAGCCATGTGCCGTAAAAGCAGGCGCCATCTTCATCACACTTTCGGCGTCTTCGGGCGCGCCTCATGCCTTCCTTGGTTCCCGCCACGCTGCCTGCAAACCTGCCGATTTCCGCCGCCGACCTCCACCACGATTGCCACCACCGCGACTTTGTGACAAAGACGGTTTCCACCTCCACCGCCGGCGCTCTTGCATCTTCACGGTGCGGTGGGGGACACTCACGTGCCAAAGTGGCCCCTCCACGGTTGCGCTTGAGGCAGGTGTTGGGGCGACAGCGGCCATCTACTTGGAAATTTGATCTGACAACATTGCCATCTCCTCGTCCGCCACCACGTCCCACCGCCTCGCCTCCGCCCTCGCCCACCACCGCGGCTACGTCCACCGCCACCGTCTTGGTTCACGAATCCAGAACCACCGGCATCATCTCCCTTCTTCTCCTTCCTCCAATAGCGCTGCTCTCCACTTTGCTTATGAGTACTCGGTGTATGACGCAGAGTTTGCCGTTGATGGCCACCGGCTCGGTCGGCGCTTGTTCCTCGCGATTATCCACCGCCTTGAGCCTTCCAAATACCTCCTCAAGAGTGAGCGCCTCAAAGTCGAGGAACTGCTCAATGGCGACAACAATCTGCAGAGTGTGGCACGGGCACCGTCGCGAAACTTCTCCACCACACGCCTCGGTGATGTCCTTGTCACCATGAATGACAAAAATGCTATTGGGGAGAGAGCAGAAAGGCAGTTAGAGAGAGAGAGGAGAGAAAGACAAGGGGATCAATTGCGAAATCCTCCACTTGCTCGCAACTATGGGTTTGGTTGAAATAGCCGATCTTCTCTTTGTTTGAGGAGTCATGGCCATGTGACAAGGTGCTGCTGCTCAAGAAACACTGGAATTTTGTTCTCGACGATGACCGGGTCCCACGCCTAGACAAGTACCTTTCGAAGATAATGAGCTTAGTAAAAGTTTTGACATTATGAAATGGATGGCGCCCCACGCCTCGCCAATTCGCCTCAGTAGCCTTGTCGAGGAGTGGATGCCCATCTCTTGGCGCACGGGCCCGACAATCACCTCCAAGCTTGAGGAAGGTAATTTTAATGCAAGTCTACGTTGTTATCATTTCTATTATTTATCTTAATAGCTTATTGCGTGTAACGACACTTATTGTAGAAATTGGGCCATTTCTAAGGATAGCACTACCGCCCTCGATGGCGTCCCCTGGATTACAGATCGCCCTTTTGCTACTATAATGCATCCTCGGCTTCATGGTCCTTGACTCCACTCGTGAGTAGTTCGACTTGTCCAAACAATCGCCACATCCTGGTGGCTCGAAGTCTATTGATGTAGTGGTGTTTGGTTTCTATTGCTACGGTTGATCGCGCCGTACACCTGCTTGATTTCCTGTTGTTTATCCAATTTGTAAATTTGATTTGAGCATTGAACTGATTTGTAATATTTGATTTGAGCATTGAATTGTTAAGCCTTGCAAACAATGTCATTGTTCTAAATTGAGTAAATTCATCCTCGATTTAGCTTCATTGTTTTATTTGCATCAGGTTTTTTCGGTTTAACCGAAAAACCGAACTAAAAACCGCGGCGCCTCTTTATAATTTCAACAAACCGATCGGGGTCATTTATTGAAAAACGGCCGAGTCCGCAGCCCCGATTCCCACTCTCCGCCTCCTCTTCCTCCTCCTCTCTCCGTGCATCCTCTTCTTCCCCCCTTCTCGAGATCAATTTCCTCGGCCCATGGCTCTGTAGTTCGACTTGTCCTTGTTTTGCACCACTCTGCTCTGGTGATTACGCAGCCCTGCGCGCCGCTTTGCTGCTCGATCACCAGCAGCCCCGATTCACGCTCTCTCCTCTCTCAGCCTTCAAGTGCGGCAGCACGGCCGGAGGAGTCGCCCAGCTCTCCATCGCGGTTCCCTTGGCCTTGAGCTCTGGCAAATCGCAGCCCTTGGCCTTGAGCAGAGGCCTTTCAAGAGATCGACATGGGGTGGAGAAGGTGAGGAGTTGGCCTCGTGGCTCTCTGGTGTCTAACCTCTCTCTGATACCAAATGTTGGAGGTAACACAGACTTGATTAGCCTGAATAGCCACACACCCCAGGCTGTCTCCTTGATTATATATAGAGATAGATATTGCATTGATTACAAACAGCTCACTAGAGCATAGCTAATCAGATAGGTGCCTTGGCAGCCGTACACACCTCTTGGGCTGCCCAAGGTCTTTAATGACTGTAATTAACTAGCATAGTTATCTAGGAATTGCTTAGGAAGCATGGCTTATTAACTACAACTAGTAGTACTAATAGCATTGCTATGGCCATTGACGGTCCTGTTTTGGTGCGTCTGGCTGTTCTACGTGCTCGGGCCATTGGCCTGTGCAGGGATCTCGTCGTGGCGCATAGCGAAGCTGAATCACGGTTATCACATGGATGGGACTGACAGCATGGCAGACATGATGGCAACACTGAACATATTCTATTCACTTATTATTTTCCAAGGCGCCATGTTCTTGGTATTGCTACTACCTATGTACATCTACGAGGCAAATGTGGTCAGACGCCTCCAATCACTGGAGCAGCTGTCAGAGAAGTGGGGCGAGGATGCCATCGGCAGGTACATTTCTGATATCAGCGCGAAATGCAGGAAGGATCCTTTATCCATCAAGGGCATGGACTTGATCAAGTACGGCGCTGTGTTGCTGGATTCTGAATCCCAGGAGGACTAGTGCAAGGCTACTCGGCGCCTTCGTTAACAAGGGGGAAGATGTGAGCTGGGTGCTGCTTCCCTCGAGACACAGGATTCAGAGACTGATAGATTCACTTATGATAAGCAACAGTAGCCGCCGCCGCCTAGATGAAGCCTGTGTTCAATTCTGCCGCGGTAGATGCTATGCAGTGACCGGCAGCCTAGAAGATAAAAAGGAGATTAGAGAGCTCGCGGCGATGATCGTGGCCGATGTTGCTGCCCACATAGATGATCTATCCAATTACCCTGGGGCTATGCGGTGCATATCCTCCCTGTTCCAAGACCCTGTCCCTGATGACCCACCCCTGCATCAGCAAGACGAAGACATAGGACCAGACTGGCTGGAGCGCAGGAAACTGATGATGGACCAGCAGAGAATGGCGATAAGAGAACACCGTCATCGGAACAAGAGGGAAGGAGGTAGAAGCAACCAGCTGGTTCAGCAAGGCTTGACCATCCTCGAGAGGCTGGCGTCCAACAACGACGACAACCGCAGGATCATATGCAGCACACCCGGCCTCCTTCCCAAGATCACGGCACCCGTCTACTCAGCGACCTTAATTGAAGATGTCAAAAATAAGGCATGGGCTGACATTGTAACCAGATGCCTCAAGGTGCTGTACCAGCTCATCCGCGCTCCAGACGGCAGCCATGAAATCTTCTCAAATAATGTTCAGGCACTGAGCAACCTAAAGAGCATTCTTGAACTGGGCAACAATGAAGCTCATCACCAAGAACTGAAGCTGGTAGCCATGGAGATCCTCACAGAATTGGCACTGGATTTGTCTATCAACCTCACCGAGGAAATAAAAAAGGTGCTCGTCACAAAGCAGCTGCAGCTCTTCTTCCTTGCTAATGGAGATGGTGCCGCCATGGCTGGGAGGACACTGGTATCCCTGTCAGCTAACAGGGAAAGTAACTCTGCCCTCATCATGACCACACAAGACGGCATTATTGGTCGTCTCACAAGAATACTTGATGGATACAACATCACACGGAGAACAATAGCAGCAGAGATAATGGCGAACCTGTATGCTCACTGTAATGTGGACAGTACTATGAAGGAAATACTGCCAAAGGTGAGTGTGCAAGTATATTTTAGATTTTTAGTGTGCAAATATATTAATCTAATCTAATCAAAATACATCAGTAGCACAACACTTCCGTTTTAATTTTCCTGAAAATAATAAGTATACTTTGAAGCATGTTAAGTTGTTAACATAAAAGTTTTTTCTCTTCTCATTTAATTACAAGCACCATGTGCGCATTGATTTGAATTCCATTCCCATTCATTTTAGAGGAGACTTCGTTTCAAGAAAAAAAAAATACTGTTCTGGGCTTGGCACCCAGAAAATGCTAATGCACTAAGAAGCCATTATAAAAGAAAAACAGAGAGAACTAATAAGTAACTTTGTCATTGCAGGTCCTCGGAAAAATAATGTCAATTAAAACAAAATCGCAACAAAGAAAAATTTCAGCGGGCGAGAACAATCCTGCTGCATTAGGAGACGAGGAGAACCAGGGAAATTTTGTATCCACAAATAATGAAGAAAGGCAAATCATTTCTACAGACGGCGACCACACAGAAACAGAGGAAATTTCTGATCAAGAAAGAGAGGAGCAAGAAGCGTTTTTGTCCCTTGCACATGTCATATGTGATAAGCTGGACAGCGCAGATTTGGATGGTGCAATTCAGATTGCCGTTCAGAACGAGAACAATGCAGGAAGTGAGGAGCAACGACGTGAAGCATTTGTGGAAAAGCTCAAGACCATAATAGACGACAACCGTCATGCAACAGCAGATTGTCTGAGAATTGTGAAGCTTTGCGGTCAGATTGCTAAATCAGTGATGCTGTGCGAACAGTATGTGAAAATCTTCAGAAACAAGGGATTTAAGAGTTCACTTTCGGAAGCTTCGAAAACCATGTCTGAACTTGAAAGCTGCATGCTCTTCGCTGGGACCGATTTCGGGCTCAGGAAGACCGTCAAGCCCCTCTTTTCTGAAATTGAGAAGACTTGGTCAGAGATGTAGCCAGCAACTTGTGACTGCTAAACCCTTTGCACTATTCCTTGCTCCGTCACAGGACACTAGTGTATCTCTAGTTGTCACATGTATCAATGTATGTATGTGCTTTGCTTTGTTTCATTTCTCGCTATTTTTTATGGAACATATATATTGGAGTGTTGTTTTCACACTAATTGTATCCGTTCTCTGAACAAGTGTGCTACCGTTTTTCTGTATGTGCCTGGAATAATTACTTTGGTATTAAAAGTTCACATGATGGCCAATATTTTTCTCTCGCAACAAATCAACGAATAGTATTTTCAGCCTGGCTTTTCAACGAAGCGAACAATATTGAATTATTGATATGCACGATGGTTCCCAAACCTGTGGGTGTGGTGGCAATCCTGGAACCATACCTCGCAATGCTTCAAACCCTTCTGATTAACAAGCTTTTTTATCTTTATTTTTAAACATTTGTTGAGCTATATATTTTTCATTTTTCGATTATGTTTGACACAAAATAAATAAATAAATTGCAACTATGAATATTTTCTAAGTCAACTTTAAATACTTAAGTGCATGAGATGGCTGGCTTGACTTACTCTAATAATGGCATGCATGAGTAGAGAAATACGGTATATGTGTATTTTAATTAGCTTTTACCTAACGGGCTGTGGAGGATAGTTGTTTAATAATGGCATGTGTAGATAATAGAGAAACATGTATAAGAGTATTTCTAGTTCTTTTCCCGCTTCCTTTTCAAAACGGTAATGCTACCATTAAGACGTTCGGAAGGCCGGACGTCTCGCTTCACTCACTGCCACATGCGCTGCTCGCCTAAAAAAACAAAATCAACCCCCGCATGTGTCGCTCCGCTCCCGCCCTTACCCCTTCCGCGCTCCTCATCCCCTGCCGCAGCGCAACAACGCCCGGCGTCCTTCCCCACCGGGAACCCCCAACGCCCGCAGATCCGACGGCCCTCTCCCCTACCCTTGGCGAGATCCATGGAGCAGGAGCAAGATCCACTCGCCTCCGACGAGATCCATGGAGGTGGCGCGACCGTGTTGCAAGGGAGTGGGGCAGCTCTCCTCCTCCCCGGCGCGGCGCCCTCCCCACCCCCGGCGGCACCCTCTCTCACCCCGGTGACCGAGGTCCCCCTACCCCGGCAGCCATGGCGCTCAGCTCCTCGCCCCCCATACCCTACGTCGCAGAGGCAAGCCCGGTACTGGTGGCGCTGGTGGCGGATGCTCGTACGCCACCGCTCGCCGCCGGTTCCGACCCTAATGGCTGGAATCGACCAGCCCAGGCTTCCCTCTCCTATGTTGTAAATATATGTTTCTGGTGTTTCAGTCGTTTCAAAGGTATGTTGCAATTGTTTCTTACGGATGTTGCAAAAGTAGATTAGGGGATGTTGCATATGTTGTAAGTATTTCAGAAGCATGTTGCAAGCGTTTGTTCAAAATATTTCATCTGTTTCTAGACGTATGTTGCAATCGTTTTTTATCTAGATGTTGCATATGTTTTCACACATATGTTGCAACAGCATGTTCCAAATGTTTCAGCTGTTTCAGTCTTATGTTGCAGTAAGTGTTTTTTCATGTTGCAATTGTTTTATCTAGATGTTGCATATGTTTCACACACATGTTGCAAAGCGTATGTCCCAAATGTTTTATCTGTTTCAAATGTATGTTGCATTCGAGTGTTTCATGTTGCAAGTGCAGACCACCGGTGTTGGTGCCCATGAGGGCGGGCAGAGCCAAGCCGCGCCCACCGACGCGTGGAAGAGGCGCAGGTCGTCAGCGGTGATGTGGGGAGGAGGCACAGGCCGCGCGGTGCTATTGTGGAAGAGGCGGGGCGAGTCTTCCAGGCGGCCTGGAAGAGACGGGCGCCGCGCCGGTGTGGAAGAGGCGGGGGCGAGTCATCCGAACAGCGTGGGCAGCGAATCTAAAGTGGACGGTTCGGATACGAGAGCGGAAAACAGAGCTGACGCAGGCGGCACGTGAATCTGAGCGGACAGGGCAGAGCAGCCGCGAGTGTCTGGACGGACGCAGGCGTGCGGACGCCCGGGCGCTAGCTGACGTAAGCCACCCATTCGGCTGACAGAATTTTAACTAAAACTGTCTGAAAAACACTGTTCTGACTGAATTGTTGTGAGAGAAAAAAAAATGTTCCGGCTGAAAAAAGAAGTCGAACAAGCCGATTATGGGATAAGCCGAACGGGGCCGGGTCTATCCATGCCTACAAATATTACACACCTGCTCTGATTATGAGACAGACATTGAACAGGCCTTGCAATCCAATTCATTCCAAGAAAGAAAGCAAGCATCATCCAAATTCTAATCTAATCTAACCTATTTATTCAGATAAGTTATCAGCATGGCACCGAGTACAGTGCTCCACCACATTCAGCCTAACAGTAGACGGAACCTTATCTTCAATGTACGTTCTAATTGCCGAAACCCCTCTACGTGCTTCCATGAGAAAATCTTTACTCATGGGAGTGCACCTGCCACCGGACATTGCGCTATCACACGTAGGATCACCATAAGTGGTATCCAGTGTGAGCCGGCCAAGTGACTTTGCGTTCCTGAGAATATAACACGTTAGCTCAACCAAGCTCTTGGCTGAGTTGAAGCCTTTGAAGCTCACAGTCTTAAGGCGGCCATGGTGCTGCTCAGGCATCTGCCTCAACTGCAAAGAGCCGCCTCCGAAAATTGATTCATGCTGCATACTTTCCTCAGCTACCTGTGTGGGGTGGAAAAGACATCATAAAATAGAGTGAAAATGGATCCAGCAGTTACTAAATATTTTGCAGGATGGAATGGACATCGTCTTACATCCAACAACCAAGTCTCCAAGGAGGGAGAAGCGTCAAGGAAAGAAACCAGAGAAAAATAGTCATCTCAGATAAATAGATAGCCACTTGAGGAATAGGAATTTGGTACGAAGCATTGGTGTATTAACCCTCTGCAAGGTAAAGATGTTTCAGATTAGATATACAAAAAAAAATTGTATGACTATAGTAATATTCATATATACATCCCCTAGTCTACAAAAACTAATGTTTTAGGAAATCCATACCTCATAATGTGAGCTGATGGAAAGAGTCTTGAGGTTTGGCATACTGGATAACAATTTAACACGGGCATAACAGACGAGGTTGGAACGGCCCATGCACAGGTTCTTCATTTGCAGTGTTTCTCCAAGTGAGACTTTTACACTCTGTCCTTGAAGGATAAAACAGGAGAGATTTCGAGCTTTGCTCTGTATCACTCGCAGCTTCAGGCAACGAGAAACCTTCAGGCTATGGAGCTGCAGCAGGATGCTAGGTATCTTCAGGCACGTTATCTTCTCACAAGCATTGAGGTCTAACTTCTCCAAAGCATGGGAGTTGGAAAGAAAGCACTCTAACTCATTATCCAAAATATGCACAGAACGCAGGAGCAGACTTTTTAGGTTTCTGAAGGGGCCAAGTTCAGGTGTGGGATGGAAGGCGCAGCAGGAAAGTTGAAGATACCGGATTGAGTTTTGGACACCATCAGTTAAAAGTGTGCATGGGACATTATGCTTCATGTCAACTCTATAACATAGCTCAATGGTGAGTTGTTCAATCCCAGGTTTAACAGCAACCTGAAGCCAACTGTCCAGATACTGGTTGGCATCATAAATGCCATATAACTGAAGCTTGAGTATCTTAATGTTGATGCCTGAGTGGTTCCTCAGGATGTTGTCAATTATGCAGCTGAAATTCTCTTGAGATGCATTTGCATTTAAGCCAAGGATATGCCAGTTTAAAGTTAGATTGGGATGACATCTCCAGAAACGTAGAAAGGCATGAGACGAGCAAGCAGCACGGGCAGCATCACGCAGTGGCAACAGGGAATATATATGGTGCAAAATGTCCTGCATGCACAAACATGGGATAAAAGTCAAACATTGGGATTGTAAACCCAAATGGTTACTTATATAAAGTTATAAGAGAAAGGAAAACAGCAGAACATGGAGGTAATATTCTACCCTAGGTAATCCTCCACATGAGTGCACATGGTATATTGCATTACACATTGCACACATGCCAAGAATCTGCAAAGTGAAGAGCTCACACATGGGGGAGTGTTGGGCTGCCTACTGTTGTAAATTGTAATTAGCCCATGGGCTTGCTTAGAGCCCACTATTTATGTCGGTGTGTGAGTATACCTAAGAAATAGAACAGACCATCAGAGCTGAACAAAGCCAAGGTACTAATTAAGGAGGATTAGGCAGAGTGCAGGACTGAACAATTGCAGAACTAGGAGCTCTGTTCTCTGTTTACAGATAATATATTAAGATAACATAGTGCAAAGAATCTGTGTGGCTAGAGCTGGCATGGGGATATTATGGTCCCCGCCACATAGCACCACGCTCGGCACACCTAACTTGTGGCGGAGAAAAACAGCGCCACACATTTGGCGAGCGTTGGCACAAAAATGCAGAGACAGCGCCACAGATTCTTCACACGCCAGATCCGTGGTGGCAACCAAACAGACCTGTGGCGCACCAAAAACGCGGCGTGGCAAGCTGCAGCAGCAACCAAACAGACATTAAAATTTATGTCAGAGTACCTCGGGAAGGGTTGGGATTGAACACATCATTCTTTTGGCGGCGTGAGAATCACCATGAGCATCTTGTTGACAGGGTGAGCCCTTTCTTATATCCATTGATGAATCAATCGATCCATCTGCAGACCAAAAATTGAATATGAATAAGAATGGGGAAAAAAAAAGACAATCTTATGCAAATAACTTTTTACTCCGTCCAAAAATGAATGTAAAACTCGTTTTTCCATGATGAGTCAATCAACCTCAAGTTTGACCATATATATATATATATATATATATATATATATATATATATATATATATATATATATAAAGATACAATATTTATGATGTGTAATAAGTACCATTAGATTAATAGTAGAATAATAGACCTATTTAGAGATACAAATGTTGATACTATTTCCAATTAGTGGATACAACAGGTACGAAACATATTTTAAAATGAATCAATTAGTGGATACAACAGGTAAGAAACACATTCTAAAATGAACCAATTAGCGAGTACAACAGGCAAAAAGTGATTTTTTTTGGCTGTGAACTGAAAGAAACAGCCACACAAGGTAGAGGAGATATAACATGCCCAGGAGTGGCAGGAAGGGGCTTACTCAGGGCTCGGGTTCGCCGTTGACGCCGCTGCCGGTCACACTGTAGGGACATGAGCCGCTGCAACGCCAGCAGCCCCATGGTGGTTAGACCAGACGACGATATCCAGTGGCAGATCCAGAAACAGGACAAGAAGGGGGCCAAATAATATAAGCCTAACAATTGCACTAGCCATATATATATATATATATATATATATATATATATATATAAAGAAATTCTAATAAGTGCTCCAGTAAAATGTATAACATTATAGATAGAAAAATATCAAAGATTCAGGTTAGACAGTCTTTTATGGCCGGGGATGGCTTGGCACAGATCTATGGCCATGGTATCTGGGTATAGTCGATAGTCAATAAAAAATGCTAAAACCACAAGAATTATATTTTATTTTACTACTCATTGGGTTTGTTAAGGAACCTAGTGTGGTGGCATGTGAGATCAAATCGTGTATGTAGTCTAGAGCAGACACTGCAAATCCAGTCACACCTGAGATAGAAGGCAGAACCACAGAACGGCAGAAGGGGCGGGGGGGCGGGGCGCCGGCCGCCGGGGACGGGGTGGGCGGGCGCCGTGCGGGGTCTGATGCGACGCGACAAGGAGAGGAAGGCGCGAGGCGGCGATGTTGTGACCTGCGAGGCCGCCGCTCCGGACGAGAAGAGGAGGGCGCCGGCGTCGGGGACTCGTGCTGCAGCAAGATGGAGAGGGTGCTGTGTTGATGAGGCTAGATAGGCTCTGTTCCTTGGGCCGGGCCCGGGGCTGCAGCTCCGGGCCTAAATCCGCCCTATCTACCTCGCCGGCTCGCCAACGGATCTCGCCGAGAAATTGCTATAGTTCTGTTCTGCTCTCCGTCAGATTTTAGGACTCTCTCTACGTGGCAGCCCTGCCCACTTTATGTCCTCGGAGACGCTTGACTTTTGGTTTCGTTTCGATCTCAGTTTGAATTCGAATCCTAGGAGACGCTTGACTTTTGGTTTCGTTTCGATCTCAGTTTGGATTCGAATCCTATAAACGCCAAAGAAATCGCGCAATACTCTTCTTTCTTTTATTTTGCTTTGAGAAGAGATATACTCCATCCGTTCTAAAAAAAACTGCAATTATAAAACTTGGGGACTTCCCAATATTAATGGCAAATTACATTTTTTTTGAGCAACGGATGGCAAAAATTACATAAAACGGTAATACTGGGAAGCGGATGTTCGTCCGCCCAGATGCTCCCGTTGATGAGCCGCGACACCAGCCCAATAACCCCTTCCTATCCGCTCATCCACTCGCCCCTCATACCGGTGCTTAGGATGCACCTAGGTCAGGGGCAATGGCCACAGCAAGGACTAGGCGCGCAGCACCCGTAGCGGCCCCCATCGCCCAGGTGCGGAGCGGAGCGTCCTGCTGCCTTTGAGGCGCAGTGCTCGGCTGCTGGCCTAGCCGGACAAGGCCCAGCCAGACGAGGCGTGCGGTCGGCTGCCGGCTCTGCTAGGCGCGATGCGTGGCTGCCATCTCCAATCGTGCGGCCGCTGCCTCCCCGCCACGTTGCGCAACCGCTGTCGCCACACCGCCGTCGGGCCACTGCCTTCGGTGAACTTCATACGCCGACGAGCCTCCGTTCTCCCAAGCAACAAGGAGATGTTGCGCTGGAAGTGCAGTTGCAAACGTATGTTTAAGATGTTTCATAGACATGTTGTAAGCGCTTCTTACGGATGTTGCATATATTGCAAGCGTATATTTTAAATATTTCATTTGTTTTTTTAGACATATATTGCATATGTTACACAGGAGTATGTTGCAAGTGTTTTATCTGAATGTTGCATATGTTTGCAATGGCTTTCAAGTGTTTTCAGGTGTTTTGTAAGTGTTTCAGACGTATGTTGCAAGTGTTTCAGCTGTTTCAGACGTATGTTGCAAGTATTTCATCTGAATGTTACAAAAATAGATCTGGTGTTGTATATGTTGCAATATAACCCACCTGTCGTAGCCGCCGTGCACAGACGGTCTCACGTGCATGCGCGTAGAGAGCGGAGGGGGCGCGAGCTGTCCCCACATGCGGTCAGGCGCTACGGGAGACCTGCTGGTGACATTGGGCCCCACATGGGCGGGCGAAAACAACCAGGCACAGAAACAGTCTGGAGGGAAACAATGCAGCAACACCAGGCTCTGGTGTCCCAACATCCGCACACTAGCCAGGCCGTTACATAAATGCCTCTATAAAATGCTATGAGTTTAAGGCACAGGGCACTCACCGGAGGTACGACCATGCAACAGTACTCCACATAAGCTTCTGAAGGATACGACGTGGAGGTCAAATGAGTGGAGAGGGCGTGTGTGCGGTCGTGTTTGTATTTCGTCTTTATACTTTTTAACTAGTACAGTAGCTTTTTTTTAACGAGAGATGGATGAATGTGTCTGTCAGGTGGGTCCTGCGTAAGGACATGGTATCCTCGTACTCAGTTAAACCAGAGCCAAACGGGAGCAAACAGTTCATGTATGCATGACACCCATGCGTTGCTACAGGATACTACTTACCTTGTATGTATGCATAATCAGCTCAACAAAAAGAAGTCTCAATCCAACTTTACAGTGGTTTTTTTTACAAGGCATATATTCATTCAAATAAAGATATATAGATGTTATATGCCCTCCCCAAAAGTATTTTTTTATCATTTGACATGGAGCAAATCAATTTGTTCAAATAATGAGATGAAATGGCATTACCGTTCTACGAATTCGGATCACAGTTAAGCATTCACAGTCTAGTTATTTCATACAAAGATAATTAAAAAATATTAATTGATTGAATATGCACAAAAAAGAGAAGCTCTGAGTGAAAAAGTTAGACAAATTTACCATGTCCTGCTCTGTCACTATTTTTGAATCTCTTCATGAATCATGACACATTGTCGTGGTCGCTTTTGGTCCTAACCAATAGCTCTCAAGTTCCAAGCATTCGTTGGAATCAGTCTTCAAATGGGTCAATTGCTCCTTGTGCTTGTCAACAAGGTATTTGAATCTTTTTTATATATATTGAATCACATGTATCTATTATCTCTATATTAAAATAGCTAAACTGTACACACGTATATTAAAAAAAATCTTACCATAATTTGCTACTCAACAAGGGCTATAGGAGGCTTGATCACCCTCCTTCCTTGATTCCATTCAACCCTACAGATTTGAGCAGAGAGATTCAGAACAAAAGAAATAGAATACATTAACCTAAGCCTACATGATCACTTGGTCAGAGTAGTCTTGGCTGAATTCAAGACCCAGGAATCAAGTCTCCTTGTCTTAGCTTACTTTCCACATATTTTCAAAATTCATAGCTGTTGGATTCCTAAACTGGAGCATTGACAATGGGCATGTCTGGATGAGTTTCATATTCTTAAAAAAACAGTTTTTGGCTCTAATATCTAAAATCTAGATTCTGAGCAAAACCTGGTGGTGGTGTTTGGATCCTCAATTTTTAAGAATCTGGCTTCATTTATTGCTCACAGGGTCACAAGAAACTGGCAAAAGCTAGATATCAATAGTTTTTTTTGTTTTTAAGAATCTGGCAAAAACTGACACAAGAAATTAGGCAAAAAAAAAACTAGTATGTTTGATCCCACCTAGTTTTCAAAAGCCAGATTCCTAAGAACTGGAGGGATCTAAACAGGGCCAATATTACTCACCTTTGGATTTGCTCAAACACAATACCCCGCCATCAATCTTTGGGATTTACACAAAACATGGATGCAAACATAGGCAATGCATTTATATTAGATTTAATTCGAGTAGAGGATCACTTGGCTCACTATCCGAGGGCTAAAGTTTAGTTCGTGTCATATCGACATTCGGATACTAATTAGAATGACTAAATATGAGCTAATTATAAAACTAATTGCACAGGGTAGACTAATTAGCTAGACAAATCTATTAAGCCTAATTAATCCATCATTAGCAAATGTTTAATGTAGTACTACATTGTCAAATTATGAACTAATTAGACTTAATAGATTTGTCTCGCAAATTAGGTTCAATCTGTACTTTGTTTTATAATTAGCGTATGTTTAATACTCCTAATTAGTATCAAAGATTCGATGTAGCGGGGCTAAACTTTTGTCGAGGAAACAATACTCCAGTTAGCGTGATAGTTAGCGTGATCTATCCGGCGCTCCAATTCGTTCACGTGCCTGTCGACCAATGAGCTCTTGGCGTCGGAGGCGAGGCTAAAGTACACGTCCTGCAGGCTCCGCAGCGGCTCCACTCCAGCGGGAAGGTCCGTCCCGTCCCGCGCACCACGATCCACGAAGCTCAGCGGGTGGCTGGTACCGCCTCAGCGGCGCCGTGCTCGCGAACGTCAGCATGCCTGCCTGGTCTATCGAACGGCTCGATCGTCAGCCTGGTCCATAGGCGCGGAACATGGCGTGCATGCACGTGACATTCCCAGGCCTGCCGGGCTGCTCCTGCATCTCCAGATCGCATCAGGGTGACGACTGACGAGCTGTGAGTTGAGCGACTCGGACGGAAGCGGGAGCGGGAGCGGAATGACCCAGCCGGCGACGGAGGCGGCGTTTGTGGCGTTCACTTCCCAGACGCGGACGCCTGTGGTTCGAGTGGTTGCTGTCTGATACTGGCAGCTTGCCGTGCGTCAGGCCAGCTCGTCACTGCGGTCGGTCATCTGAAATGAAAGCTCCTTTTCAGCCTCTGCTAGTTCAGACACTTGAATTTGCTTTTCTTCAGGAAAAGGGAGAAAAACTCTCTCTTAGATTTCATACCTTTGATTGCCTAAGCTCTAGGGGTAACGAGGCCTTGTTTAGATTACCTCAAAATTCCAAGTTTTTTTCACTCTCTCTCCATCACATCAATTTTTGGACGCATGTATGGAGCATTAAATATAGGTAAAAAAAATAACTAATTACACAGTTTGGTTGTAAATCACGAGACGAATCTTTTAAGCCTAGTTAGTCCATGATCGGATAAAGTTTGTCAAATACAAACAAAACGTGCTACAGATGTCCAGATTGCAAAAATTTGCAATCTAAACAACGCCTGAGGAATTGGAGGGTCAAGGTAGCATCGGTCCGGAGCTTGCTCTCCGTCAGGAA